TAGGGTAGCTTAACCATCTCGAATTGGAACGACTAGTGGACTTAGTTGGCAGAGGTGAACTCATAACTGGTAAGGCAGATGGAACGTGTAACACACCACAACAGTACCGAGACCCGCAGAAAGAAGACTGGCCAATGGTAAGAGTACTATTACTGACTCAACCAAGGCAATCGTGCTTTCAACATCTGCATATTTATAGTTCGCTAAAGCATTAGTAATTATCTAAACTATAAGGGAAGACGTAAATTAGTTGGCACATGAGTTGCCATGTAGTGGTCCTATCTCCGGGCAGAAATGGGATAAGTTCGATGCTGTTTAGATGTTGGACACACCACAGTTGTTTAGCGTGCTCGGTAACTAAGGCATTGGTATGGATCCAGCTCAGTAGGCAGACTGTTGACTTGAAGAGAGCCTGTTAGATACGATGGTGAGACTGGGGTGAGTCCAGTGGAAGCTGTGTGTGAAACGTCAGCTGTGTTCTCACTAAGGGCAACTCAGTTGTGATCTGTGCAGGTGAGTGGACTTTTGGCGGCAGTTTCTGTAGGGAGAGCTCAGCTCTAAACTGAGTCATTTGAGCCTCTGCATAGCGACCGTGTTGTTCAGGTTCGATAGTGCACTGGCGCCGGTGAATTCCATTGAGTTTGGCAGGGCTGTCTCGGCCCTGTAGCATTTGCTATGGACTTTACCGCGAGAAGTTTTAAACGCCCTGTGATTGGTAACTGAAAAATTATCTCAGCCCTCGGTCAGGCAAACCTACCAGGATACACTGCATATCGAAATTCCGCTCTCTCGTCCTAATGAAACTGAGCATCTGTCGAATAGGACTTACACCATCATGCAGGACGTAGGAGCATCTGCTTGCAATACTGCCAATCTTCATCGTACCAGTCACTGGACATCCGAGAGATTGGTGAACCTGTTGGAATCCAGAAGAAATCTACCGGCTGCCTCTGAGCGCAACGTAACGCGAACTAAAGCGGAGCCTGCGTGCTGACATGGAAGCCTGGTGGACCAACCGGTCTCAAGAAATGGAAGACGCAGAGGCATTAAGCCATTCTCACAAGCTCTTCCAGCTAATCCGCGCCACTAGTCCCAGAAAACCAGACGTCAGTGAGACAAGCAGAGACGAAGCGGGTGCTATGAGCCACAATAAGGAGCGCTGTATGGTTCATTGGGTAGATCACTTTGATATCAGTCCAGTTGGTCCCTTGCTTTCGGACCTCTTCCTGTTCAATTTAGGCAGCATGAGCCATGAACGATTAGTTTATTGGCTGTGTTGGGGTCTGATATTTGAAACGCGATGACAGCCATCAATCGTTTTCGTGCCGCTGGCCCGGATTCCCTACAACGTGCACTATTTACGGATGATGGTTAGGTCGCTTGGAGACCGTCCCGGTCAATTGGAGTGAATAGGTTATAGTGGCGATATACCATAAGAGCAGTCGCACCAACTGTGCTTACCACAGAGATATTAGCTTAACACCAGTGGTGACAAAACTACCTGTCTCCATGCTCCTTCTTCGCTCCACTGCGGAAAGGGAATCCCGGATTAGGGAAGAGCAAGCAAATTTCCGCCCAGGACGTGGCTGTATAGATCACATGTGCGAAATCGACGCCACACATATGGAAGGCCGACAGTAGCTGTGTTCTTGGGCTTAAAGAGTGCAATCGACTAAATCGATCGATCTATTCTGCTCAAAGTGCTTGTGCAGAAAGGGGTTTCCATGTAATATGTGAACATTTTACGTACTCGATACTCAAACATGAAAAACGCATTAGGGTCTAAGATGAATTGCCAAAGACCTATTCGACAAATAGTAACGTTCCTCATGGATGCCAAAACGTTTAAAACTATTTTTCCGATTTCTTCGTGGACTACACATGAAGTTCTCCCTTGCGGAGTCTGGCGATGCAGGTGTTGAGGTGCTGCATCCTGGAAGGCTATTTGATCCCGATTATGCGGGCGACATAGTCTTGCTTTTTTGACAATGTTAGGACGGCGCAATCAACCCTGAATAACCTCTCTAGAGTGGTCCCATTATTTGGTAGGCGCTTAGCATCTTCAAACTGCAGTGTCGCTGCAAGACCACCAGCCACTTGATGACCCCTTGACTCTTGATAGCGAGGGACTCGAGGTAGTTGATCAATTCACTTAGCAGATGCATCAGCAACGATGGGCGCAGAGAAACTGAAGTCAGTTCACGGATTGCGAAAGCTGAACTGCCTATTTTAATCTACGATATCTGGGGCGTTGGAAAGGGGTTTCCATCGGTTTGAAATGCCGTGTTTACAAGGGAAAAGTGAGAGCCCTCCTACTCTATGGGAGTGAAACTTGGCCCCATCCACTTTGCAGATCTAAGGAGCCTTCAAGTCTTCGATCAGTGCTATCTGCGGAAAATTGCTGGTGTAGGATGGTAGCAGTATATCCGCAACGATGATCTCCATAGACGAGTGCTAGGGAGTGATAATGAACAATGAATTTATACGGGTTAAGAAGCATTCCTTTACAAGTCCCGTTGGATAGATGGTGGAGATATCGACATAACATTAATGATAAGTATGATAGTAAAACAGTTAGCATTTTAAATATGAAAGGATACTTATCGTTTGCTCCGCCGTAGTCCTGCAATCCGTCTAGATTCAAAGCACCCACAGTTAAAAGAAGATACATCCATGGTGACCTCCAGGTGCAGAACGGAGATGTAGCGCTAAGTGACAAAGTGTAAGTAGCTGAATGCGTCATCCAACCGTCTTTTTAATACTGTTAGTGTCGGTACAGAGACGACTCGATTCTATGAGAGCCTTCTACGGGTGACAGACAAGAAATGGAAAAGACCTTTCTACGGCACTCCAGGCGACCATACTGTACAGCGATTTTCAATGAGGGGCCCCCATTAAGCTAGTTCGTTGAAACAACATATAACACTGCAAAGTTAACTTGGCTTGGACACGTACAACGTAAGCCCGGTCACGGCTTACCGCGGAAGGCCTTGCTTCGTTTGCCAGAGGTAGAATGGCGCAGGGCTCGACGTGGGCAAAAGTTGACTTGATAGCAGGATGAAGTCACTGATGACTAAGCTCGGTGCCGGCGGTTCGTTTCACCTTCCAGACTGGAGTCAACGTGACCCACTTGGGCTTCGCTCGACACGTTGCTGGACATGGCTGGCAGTCGACACCAGTGGAGTGTCTGCTGTCGCCTAATAGTCGGACGGCTTGTTTGAAGTGTGTTTAGGGCTGAGCTGTCTGCGAGGTAATGGCTGATTATGACGCAGGACAGTGAAAGCCGCAAGGAAGTGGTCTTGCAGATGCCGTCTTATCTCTGCATGATAACCGGCTGTTTGTGAAGATGTGTTATTGAAATAGGTAGGCGCCTTGACGCTCAATATTTGCTTAAGACCTCAAGGTTTTCCGGTAGGTCCCCTTTCTCGAGCTCTTATTATTCTTTGTTCCGCAAATTGTTGTGGTTGTATGGCAGCGACGCGTCAGCTTTTATGGCTGATGTACCGCAGTTGTTGATGGATTTGTTTCTTGATTTCAAGCCGATCTGAATAGGGTTAACACGTCATCATTACAGAATCTAGTTCGGGTTAATGTGTATGATGTACAGTGCTGCACTTACGACACCAGCTAGTATGCTCCAAGTTGGCAACCAGGAACTTCAGCCATCTTCTGGCTAGAATGGTCTGGGCGTTTTGGCATAGGCCGACATTGGATGCACGAATCAAGCAAAAGAAATCTCAAGGAGGCATCCGACGCGTGAGTCTCCTGAGGAATGTATTCGGACGATCAGACCCATCGATTTTTCAACAGATTTTCGGCTCACACGTACATCCACATGCAGTATACGCAATACATGTCTGGCAGCCGTGGTTGGGGAGAGACGTCATCGCTTTGGAGATATCTCAACACCGGACAACCACGAATGTCAAAGGTTTGTATCATTCGCTGTAGTAACGCAGGCTCCGAGTACTCATGGTCTTCACCGGACAATACCGGCAACTGCGTGGGGACTTTATTTTGACTTTTTTGATTTTGAGGAACCCAACCACACGTGCTGCAATCTGCTAGAGCTCAGTCACGACAGCAACCTCAGAGGCCATCATCTCAAGTTGGCAGAGCTGTACAGTCGTTTGGCATGCCGTCAAAATTTCTTTTCCGTTCATGTTTGCTTAAGCGTGGAATGTTCTACCGAAATCTGTCATCTGTACTCCTACGCCCGAGTTGACCGTGCAGTCATTTTTCTGCACTAGGCCACCTGACTTAGTGCCTTTGGCTAAACACAAACGTTTGTTAACGATTTCGGTGAAGATTCAGTTCCCAGAATACATTACACTTCTTTACCTACTTTAGGTGTTCATCAGGAGAGGGCACAATTTTTACCAACATCCTATTTGTCTTCATTCCTAATGGACTTTCAGTGCATTCACAGTTTATAATGCGTATGCCTAGGTGAGCCCAGTGATGTGCACATAACTTTATTGACAATTATTTTAGGCTTTGCAATAGTTACTAATATCATGCTGGGAGAAATGTTAAGCCTCATCATTCTACCCGTATAAAACCATTGTTCGATTGTCAAATGTAGAATATAAGAGCCGGCCGTCTGGATCCCATATATAATACACCTAGCGCTCCAAAATTGTGGTGCAGTGGTGCGAGAATGCGGAAGCAGCGCAACAGAAGCAGATGTTGGCGAAAAGTTTCAGCAATACCAACGAATAATCGGAAGGTAAGAATACATACAAAACCCAGTAGCAAAAGCTTAGGTATGAGAGATCGTTTTGGGTTCATCACCCGTTTTAGTACTAAAACGTGATGCGGGATGTTTGTGAACTCATCCTGAAAAAATCCTTGATATCGGCAGTATATGTTACCGAGATCAGTATCTAATTGAGTATTGTCTCCAACTGTGTTTGTATCCCACATAGGGGTCACTGAGAGATATTCTTTTATTGACAGAGGTGCTTAACTTCTGTCCCGATTTCATTTTTTATCTACAGTTTACGGGCGCGATACGCCACGGATACTCTTCGAAATGCCATTCATGCCGCCGACGGAAAAGAGGAAGCTGCAAGGTTAGTTAACACTCGTCTACATCTCACTCACGGTGATCTCCGTGTCAATGGAAGTAAACTTGCACGCGTTCATGTCTGTGCCAGCTTTATACTCCGATCTGTGCACATCCGCTTACAATACTAATCTACCCTTTATTAGCGATCGGTGAAAACTTTCTTCAGTTAATCTATCCCATTTACACAATCGAGCGGATTGGCAAGGTAGATTTTTACGGTTAATCTCCATGTGTTCATGCTGGTTGGCATCATCATTTACATTTGAACGCTTGCAGTTTGACTTGGTATGTCTTGTCGGTATCTGACCTAATAACAGCACAACAATGCAACTGGATTTACAGCAGATCCTAGTGAATGCTCTCAGGGTTGGAGCATGTGTAGAATACTTATTCGTATTGCGTAAGGAATGCATTTTTAAGGTATTCATACAAGACAGAACAAAGCGGTATGTTGAATTCGGAAGCCACGTTGATTATAGCTAAGAACAATCCTGTATCGTGAATAGGAGAATTAGTATATACGACAAGGTCATAACCTTAATAACAACGTAGATGGAAAGAATGTGCGACTTTCGGCTCACAGGACTGAATGCATACGTAGGTTGATTTGATGCTTATAAAGCAGGATAGGTGCGAGATGGACAAACCTGATATCGAGTATTTACGGATTGTGCCATAAACAGCTTGGTAAAAAAAACACAAACACTCTATAGGTCTTCCACAGGCATTTTAGTCGACGAAAGGATATGCAAGTTATTTTTGGGCCCTGGAATACCAGTCTTGTGTCTGGATTGCGATAAGCAACTTCTGACTGCTGTGTCAAGCACTGCACGCGGAGCTCTGGCCTAGTGACCATGACGAAAACCGTCAACTCCTGGGTCGGGTTCCCCTCTCGGCTCTAGCTATCTCTACCTGATGAGTCCAAATCAGGACGAAACGGGTCGGTCATGGAGTGCACTGTTGAGTAAAAGCAGCTCCGAAACTCTCCATTTCGGAAACGGTCCCAGTGATCGAATTGGCACAGCTTTGCTTCAAAGGCAACTGTGGCTTCAATGGAGATTGGGTGTCGCAATCCGGACATACGGTGGGTACTCCAAGACCCAATAATGAACCTCTGACAGCCGTATCAAGCACTAGCCAATGACGTAGGGAAGGAGCATGAAGAAGGCAAGCTCAGGTTTGGCGGCAGTCACATCAGTCCGTCTTCCAGGTTGGGGACCACGAGATGCTGAATCACAATGGTTGGAAACATTGGACCTCACGGCCCGCAACAGACATCAGTGGCGTCCACGATGTTCTGCAATTTTACCATCCCCTTGATGCACACGAAAACTCACAAAACGAAACAAAAGATACAAAATGGCGTGTGTAAAACCAAAAGAATCGTTTCCCGTTTTTAACCGCATTTCGTGTTCCCATCTTCACTGATTTACTGCCGAAGCCACAGTGGCATGTTCCCCTCTGAACCTCTATATAACGAGTCCAACTGAGGATGAAAGCCGTCGAGCGCGGAGTGTATTGTGGGGAGACAATAGCTCCGAAACTCTCCACTCCAGATGGAAGCTACTTTTCAATAAACAATAAAAAAGGGTAGATGGTACCCGAAAAGTAATACAACTGCTATCATGTTGAACTCACCTTAGTAACGACTGCACTTGTCTAATTCTGTGTGTTAGTTTTGCTTACTCGCTGCCACAGGCGAGGCGACGCCTCCTGAAACATTCAGGATCGTCATACCTAAGGTGTGTTAGGGAGATAAGACACATAACACTGAGGTAATAAGGAGAATTTTTGATTGTGTCGCTATCAGCTGATTAACAAGTTTCCTCCGGTCTACTAATCAGGGATTGGTCGCTTATACTTTCATTTGTTAAGGGAGGGAATACTGCTTGGCTTTTCAGCGCTATCTATAAATGCATCCTTGCGAACTCTTAATGTTCGTACTTCAACTCACATGGAGGCAATTACGAGCTTAAGTAAGCGTTCAGGACCGAAAGACGGTCAACCGAACACAAGCTAGATTAGTTGTCTTGGCAGTCATGCCTCAATTTTACTCGACAGCCTCATATGTATGAAGGAGTTGAGCAACGCTGAGGAGGAGGTCCGTGGTTAAACAAATACATCCCCAAGTCTAAAAGCAAAACCGTCCAAAGAGAACGGTTTCCTACAGCACATACACCGCTGTTGCACAAGCATAGTTAATCAACTCTGACACCCTTTGCACCAGAGTGCTATATATATATATATATATATATATATATATATATATATATATATATATATATATATATATATATATATATATATATATATATATATATATATATATATATGATTTGGCGGCGTCCGTATCCGGATTTGCCTGTCACTGTGACGTCCATGGGGACAGTCACAGGACGCCTGAGCCTACAGAGGGACCATGGGTGGCTTGCGCTGCACCACCCATAGTTCCATCCACACACCCCATATCCGGTGTAAACCCGAAGGAATAAGACCGGGAAGCATGCGGATGGGAGCCACGTTTCATCAACGGAGCCGGCCCACACTCCTTCAACAAGCAGAACGGAAGCATTCCGGCCTAATTGGGAAATCATACACACCAGACGTACACGAGGCGGTGGCTGGACCGTAGTCCGCTCCACACTGAATGCATGGAACCACTCTTTGAGTCTAGCACCGTCACGAGGACAATGCACTCCGTCCCCTCCAGCGACGACCAACTGTCTCCTGGAGCCAGTATGGACGAGGTAGTGGGTAATAGACAGGTAGGCACCTTGTCAACATTCACATCAGGCGCATCCACACAGGGGAGCTCAAGCAACATCTACTTCTGAAATGCAAGATTACTCATCACGCAAGCAAACGTACCACATACGCCGCCTTATTGGCCTGGATTAGGAATTTGGATGGGAACATACGCATGGTGTTTCTATTCCGCATACAATTGTGCCTTCTCCAGCACCTAAGAAACCGCCATTTTGAGTAGTTCACGGAATTCGCATCGATCAAATTTACCTTGGATTCGCAACACCTGAAATCAACATGAGTTTGTCACAAACTCACCTTCTTCATGTTCTGATAATATTATTTTCGGTTTGTTCGAATGTCGTTCTACTGCACTAAGTTAACCGTACAAAAGCGGTATGAAGATCCTCGTGGAATTCATTCGGTATACATATATACATAGATTGGCGTCATCTGTGTCCAATAGCAGTTCGAACGCGAGATAGGTACACGCGTTTCTCCAAACTTAAGTGTGAGCTGTCCCAAACTGGATAGAGACACATTAAACATCATCATCAATGGTACGACAAACGTGTATGGGTTTCGTTTGGAGGTTAGGCTAACAACCACTTTTGCAGGTATGAGAATAACTACCCCATACGAACTGTTGATATTTGCTTCTACCTTTAGACGTGACTGCCTTAAATCTTGGGCATCCATATTTGAAGGGATCCGATGTGGCAATAGTAAAGCAACTGCTAGGTAGAATGATGACTAGACTATTGGTACAGTGAAATAGTGTGCACTTGGGTGTTGCCCTCTACTTGTACAGTCTGGTTTGAGTAGCTGATGTGGGACATCACACAGCATACGAATGCGATACAGTGTCCACTTCTGGCTCTCTGTGTCTCCGACCGGTTCGGTCATGTGCTGCCCGAGGCATGTGCACCTACTCAAAGAACGATTGATGCGCACCCTTTGGTATTGACAAGTGACATCAACTAAGTCCCGCTGCTCACTGTCAAACATGCGACTTTCCAAACAGTGTTCACATTTATTGTGCAAATGTCCAAGTACTCAACCGTTTACACCTAACCACCTGTACTCTACTGAGGTCATAAGCTATTTGCTAACGGTCTATATCGTACGTTCCAGGTGCAGCCCATTCGGTACTCATAAAACCATTGTCCCTATGCGCCGATTCATTTCCGATGTTATATAATGACACACTGACGTACCATTCCCGTTAGATGCAACCTTTTATTTAATCCATTCAAAAGATTGGCCATGTGCAATACAAATTCTGGTAGGCGTCTCTGCACGTCTGCCTTCCATCCGGTTAATACGTGTGCTTTCATAGGCCCCGGTAAATTCAGTATGGCTGAGGGATAACTGGAACTATAACTATACTCACTCTCTTCACTAGCCTTCGGAGTGGAACATGGAATGGCAATATCCTGATAATCGCTAGTCGGTTAATTGTCGGGATTGTTCACTTGACACAGTATTTCCAGGGCAATTTCTCTTCGAATGCATAATCCAAAGTTGTCACACGAAGGACAATCGTTGAGCATTGTGTTACAAATGTCAAATTTGACATTTTATGCGTACTGTAAACGGCCAAGCGATGATAACCTTTCGATTCAAACGTATCCATCGAACTGGAAACATACACAATAATTTGCCACCCTAGCATTGATCCGTAACAAGCACACAAATCGCTCGGAAATACCGCACTCACATCAATTACGAATGAGCTCATGGATGGACTGAACCATTATTCTGCGATGCACCGGCTCTCTAAGCATCATGCAAGTTAGCATTGAGCAGCTAGTCAAACTACGGTTATGGTTAGCAATACCATGGACCTGACATAGTGATATGAAAATCACGGCCGAATAATAATACGAAAATGAATATGTCATAGCTCACTCTCGGTATGTAACCATACTAGACGCCGCTTGAGGAGGTAACAAGAATAGCATAGCAGAGATCATGATGTGTACATATATATGAGTATATATATATATATATATATATATATATATATATATATATATATATATACCCACTGCCTTGTGTGTCAGGCTATTTAGCCAAAGGCTCCGGTTAGAGTCCCTCAAGCAAATCTCCGAAGCACAACGACCACCTCGCGTGCGATTGCCCACCAATGCAATCGTATGCCTGCGCGCAAAGCACTCAACATCGGGTGCTGGAACGTGCGCACACTACTGGACCGGAACTCGAGCGAGCGCCCGGAGCGACGCACTGCACTGGTCG